TTCTGTGTGCCACACTTTTTTTGGGCGGGAGCCTCTAGTTTGAGTAGTGTAGTGACAGTTTCGAAAGTATCGTCTTGCCGCGCTGAAAGCCTTGCCCCGCTCCCTTTACGAGAGTAAATTAAAGTGCTAGCTCGTTATCTTGGGGGAGTCCGTTCAGAGTTTCCACGCTGGGGTTTCGGCTCTCCAACCTGCCAGAAGATGCCTGCTGGTGGAGGATTTGTTGAGTGGGGTAATGGCCACCCTGGCCAGGTCTGCGTCGACTCCTGGTGCAAGTGGAGACACAGATCTCCGAAATTGCCTGCTTAACAGCCTCCCCCGAGCTATCTTTGCTTGTACCCCTAATCTGCTTTGGCGGACCAGGGCTAGCAGAGGCTACCAGCTGGGTTCAGGGGGAACAGGTGAGCCGTGCAGCCCGGAGAAGATATTCACATATTTTGCTTGGGAGCTGAGAAATGCTAGGTCGGACTTGAAAGACGTTAAGCAGCGGAACGGCGTTGGAGGCACTAAGCCTGAGGAGCCCTTAGTTTTGTTGTCTTTGTTGTTTGGTTGGTTTCTAAGACTTTACCGTTGGTCCGTTGAGACCAGTAGTAACTGACATTTGAGAAGAAATATACCTTAATATGAGTTGCCATGAGCCAACACGTTCTCAGACTGTCTGGATTTCGAATTGTCACTTAGAAGAATCTCCTTGCTGAGACCAAGACTTGGATGAAATGTTCATAGGCTACTGGGTTCGCATAAAGGGTTTAGAGAGTTTCTTATTTTGTTCAGTGACCTTACGGAAAGTATTAGACAACGTGAGATGGTTGCTTTTTTGTGTACTTACCTTACATGTGAGAGATTATCCCACCCACCCACCCTTTTTTTCCCCAACATCCCAAGTAAGTTGACAGAATAACTTTCTGGGGGAAACATGGGTTTTGGAAGCTAGATAAGTGAGAGTCAAATCCTGGGTCACCGGTTTACGTTTGTTTGAGCAAGTGATTTAGTTACTCTGAACCTGTTTTCTCGGTAGATACTTTGTACGCTGTACTGAAGTCCTATTAGGAAGCGCCTCAGCTCTTAAGTGTTGGAGAACAGTGTATTATTTGGTGAGGTCTGTTTTCTCAGGGTGTGGGTGAGAGTTGGAAAAGGTAGTAGGGCAAAACTGAAGAGTGAGTCAGATGTGTCCCCCCAACAGGATGCCCTCATGTGCTTCGTGATTGAGTAAGGCAACAGAAATGTTCTGTTCCTGACTAAATGGATTGTCGTATATTTTGAATCAAGGAATACTGGTTCTCAGTTAGAACTCGGACAAGTGAAATGTGGAATAGTTTACTAAAATTGATTCTTTTTCAACTGTTTATTTTATGTTTTGTGCATTGATGTTTTGCCTGCATGTTTGTCTGTGGTGTCAGATCCCCTGGAACCGGAGTTACAGACAGTTGTGGGTGCTGGGAATAGACCCCAGATCCCCTGGAGAGGCAGCCAGTGCTCTAAACACCGAACCATCTCTCCAGCCAGAACAGATTTTTCTTAAAATGAGCTTTGAAGTTTGGATTTACTAGGACTTGAAATGAAGAAAGAGAAGTGTCCAGAAACACGTTTTAATTGTCTGGTAAGGACCATTTGGAAGATACCTTCTAGCTGGATCAAGCCTCATGAAGATCTAGAAAGTAACACCAAACCGGAAACAGCTATTAAGAGTTTTACACTAGGGGGCTGGAAAGACAGCTCCATGGTTAGGAGCACTGGCTGTCTTCCCAAAGGACCTGGGTTCACTTCTCAACACCCATATAGCACTCACAACTGGCACTCCAGTTCATGGGAATTTGACTCCTCTGGCTTCCTTGAGCACTAACTAGGCAGGGCTTGCAGTGCACAGACATACATACAACAGACCATCCATACACATAAAAATAAATTTAAAAAGATAAATATTAAAATAAAAAAGATTTTTAAAAAGTTTTACACTAAATTTTAAATCATGTGAATAGAATTCAAAGGTTTTGAAGGAAGCATGGAACAATTCAGTGCTCAGAGGACAGACACTGCCTGAGTGCTTTAGGAATTCTGATTCTTATATTGCCAAATGATGGATGATGTGCACGAAATCCATCCTTTTAGATCAAGGTTGAGTTAAGGAGTGCAAAGTATTTCTGAGATTTAAAGACAGGTGTGACATGTCTTAATTCCATACAGTATGACCTAGCATCATTCAGAAATCATTACAGAAGAAAATAACTTGAGGGAAGAGGACAACAATGTGTTAGAGATGCTGGGGAGGCTGAAGGAAGTGGAATAGAAGGAGATGTAGCTATGGGTTTAAGTTCATAGTCTTCAGCCTGGGGCAGTGGTGGACTTCCTTACAGGGAAGTGTCTGAACACTTCTGGATTGAAACTCTAGAACAGGTTTTGGATTCATAGGACTGTAAAGAATTGCTTGAGTTGGTTCACATTTGTTAAGGTGAGATATCTTGTAGGTGTTGGCAGATGGATTGTAAAGTTGAGAAGTAATGGGACAACATAGTTTCTACTTGCAAAATAGAGATTTACTATCCAGGAGAGGATTTTGTGCATACAAGCACTTCAGTGTTTCCTTGCACCAGGCAACCTGCCTCTGTTTTAGAGAACTTGGAGACAGATGGTTCTTCCTGGGACTACAGGTGTGATGCAAATCTCCCTGGGGCCATGTTGACCTTCCACCTACCTGCCTCAGAGACCACCTGGTGCCACTATGGGCAAGAGTGGACCAAGATTGAATTCTGGGAGTGTCGCAAAGAGACAAAACTACTAGTGCCTTTTCCTAGCCCTTCAGCTTTATGGTGGCTTTTATTGACTTTGATTACATGTAGAGTGTGTGGAGTTTCTTTTTAGCAGTAAATCGCTTCGTTGTAATGTCTGGACTTTTTTGTTTTTATGTACAAAATTTTCTTTCTTGCCACAGACATCTTGTTTCAGTCACAGATCTTTTAGTTTTGAGTAAAACTTAATACATCCTTAGGTGATTTGATTTACCTGCTTAGGAGCTAGAAGAATAGGTTCCCAAATCATTGAGATTTTCTTTCTTTAGCTAGCTGACTAAAGTCCTAAGTTCAAGCACTCAAGGGAAAGTGAGCTGGAAATGCCGGAACTGTGTTTGATGTGACATTGAAATGGTAGACGGCTAGAGTTTCGATAGAAAACTTGGATTGGTGCTTGGTTTTCTTGTTTTCATTTCATTCTACTGGGTAGATTTGTCTTTACCTTTGTTTAAAATTAGAGTAATATGAAGCTTGGGTGTGTGTGTGTGTTTTAAAACTCTTGCAGTGAGTTAGGTCCCTGTTGTGTTTCCCTATCCTAATCAAGTGCCACTGGGCCTTATTTGCTGAGAGGAATCCATGCATTTTCTCCGTGGACTGAAGCCTTCCCAGGAGCTTGATCTGTAGAGGGAGAGTGAAGGAGGTCTAGTTAAGTATGGGTTATGGATTTCTGGTGAGTTGAGTGCTGCCAAATAGCAGGCAAATGTTTTGCTGTTTAGTGATGGCACAAAGCTATACGCTCCCTAACAAAGTCCCACTACCTTAAGATCATCTTCCAGCCTTAAAAGTAGTGTGCCACTTGAACTGTGTCTCTCAATCATTTGAGTCTGGTTAGGAATTAATCATATTTTACTTCAAAATACAACATATTTCCCATTTTGACAGTTCTACATTGCTTAACTTCTTTCTAATATTGGAAGGAGGACAAAAGGTCATCCAGAGATGATTCTGCTTGCATGTGGGGCATGTGGTTTGACTTTTCGTCACATCTACATCTTTCACACACACATTTCCTTCTTCCTTTAATCTTTTGGGTTTTTTGTGGTGGTTGTTGTTTTGGGTTTGTTTTTGGTTTTTTGTTTTGTTTTGTTTTTTGTTTTTTTGAGACAGGGTCTCACTGAGTAGACCTGGTTGACCTCAAACTAAAAGAGATCCACTACCCTGCCCAGCTATACATACATATATTCCTTGTCTCTCTTCCTTCTTTTTTTCTTTTCTTTTTCAACCAACTTAGGGTCATGTGACACATTATTGCCTTTTTGCCTAAAAGCCTGGTCTGTCTTTGAATATTCTCTAAGTTCAACAACCTGCCTTGTATGATGTGTTGTATTGTGCTAAGGATCCAACTCCAGGCTCCATGCATGGTAGACAAATCATTCTACTGCTGAGCCATACCTCCAGCCTCTGTAGTCCAACTTTATAATGATTATATGGAATTCTGTATATATGAATTCTATTTAGGGTTTAAAGTTAAAGCTAAGTTAGAACTGACATTTGGATTGTTTTTTGATTTTTCGCTATTTTATGCATATGTGGCACTGGAAAATGTTTTTTATGTAAAACTTTTTGCACATTTTTAGGATTTGGGAGTGCATTTTTACATTTTCTGGTATCCCTTGATTTCCAAATCAATAGGTTTTATTTTATTTAATTTTATGTGTGTTGGTGTTTTCCCTACATGTGTGCCTGTGCAGCATGGTTCTGATGCCAGAATAGACTATTAGGTCTCCTGGAAATGGAGTTACAGACAGTTGTGAGCCTCCATGTGGGTGCTTGGAACTGAACCTGAACCTAGGTCCTCCGGAAAAACAGCCAAAGTGTTAGTAACCGTTGAGCCATCTCTCCAGCACCAAATAATATTTTTACTTCCCTTGTTTAAGAACTTTGTTTTCTGAATTTTCAATAAACTGTGATTTTTTTTTCATTTAGCCTACCAGAGTTAAGAGCTTCACAAAGTAACTTTTGACTTAGAGATTATGTGCAGCTTGTAGGTAATTCAGTGTAAAAACCAGAAAGGAAGTCAGGCAGTGGTGGTACATGCCTTTAATCACAGCACTTGGGGCGCAGAAGCGGAGGGTGGATTCTGTGAGTTCAGGGCCAGTTTGATCTCTACAAAGCGAGTTCCAGGACAGCCAGAGCTGTTAAACACAGAGAAACTCTGTCTCAAAAAAAAAAAAAAAACACGGGGGGGGGGGAACAGGAGATATTAAAGGTCTTTTGATGTTTTCTGATGATATATTATGGTGATCTAACATTTAGGGGGCTGAGTCAAAATAGTTGTGTGTTCAAGGCTCAAGGCCAATCCTGACTACATGTCTTTTTTGCCAAAACTGGCCTTAAACCCATTATAATAGCCCAAGGATGACCTTGACCTTCTGATATTCCTGCCCTCCCTCCCAGGTGCTGGGATTCTGGGTATGGGCCACCTTATCCATTTTATGCCAAGTATCAAACCCAGAGCTTCATGCATGCTTAGCAGACACTCCAACTGAGGTATAGCCCCATGTCTTGTGTGCCACTTTTTGTATTGTGTAATTTTCTTATTATATTGGAATCTTCACTGTTGGTTGCCTAAAATTCCTTGTCTAACTGAGTTGTGCCTTGCCTAAATTATTTCCCTAGGTTGTCTCCTAATTCTAGCTGTAATAAATAACCCTGTGTTAGATATCATGCATGAAAACCTTTTTTGCATTTTGTCTTAAGACATATTTCATGAAATAGAATTCATTAGTCCCAGCAGAAATGAGCACACAAAGGTCTTAATGCATGGTAGTGTACACTTTTAATCCCAATAGGCAGAGGCAAATAAATCTCTGTGAGTACCAGACCAGCCAGGACCACATAGTAAGAACCTATCTCAAAAACAGAAAGATCCATACCAGTTACAAGAACACCAGCAGAAGCTAAGAATGCACGCATCGTGGCTACTGAGTTATTAATCAACATTGGCATTGAGTTATTAACATCTTTGCTGCTTGAAGCTCAATGTGGTGGTGTCTTCTGATAGATAGCCCCAGCTATTCAGGTGAAGGCCAGTCTGGGCAATGTAATTAGTCCTTGTCTCAGAAAGAAAGAAAAAGAAAGGGAAAAAATTCAGCCAGGTGTTGTAGCATTTGATTGTAATGCACTTGGGAGGTGGAAGCAGCAGAATCAGAAGTACAGCAAAGTGTCTTTGACTACTCAGAGTTTGAGGACAGCCCAGACCATGTGATACCTTGTTCTTACAAAAAGAAAAGGACAGGACAGAGCCCCAAATGAAGTAATGTTATGTTGTTGTTTTGGTAGTCTTATAACTATTACAGATGTAATCGATCTTACGTTACTTCTTTTCCCACAACATGAGAGAGTTAAACTTTTTTGAGAAATCAATATCAAACAAGACTATAAATTTAAATTATATCTAAATATTTCTAACATAAATTACCCTCGCTTCAGTTCTCTCTTCTTGGCTGCCAGACTCCTGGTTTGTGTTATGAATAAATGTGATGTGTAATTAATTGGTCAAGACATTTTAAAATTCCATTCTTCATTTAGTATATTGTTCCTCCTTTTCTCGTTGAGATAACTGCTCAAATGAGAAGGCTGTGTGAGGTAGCTCTTCTTAGAGCACAGACTGTAGACAGGATAATATATGTGGTTTGGGTTCCTGGAGATTTGGAATGCTTCCAGGTATTCCAAAAAGTGCTCCACTTACCTAAAGAGATATCAGGAATGGTAGTTATAAATGTGTGAGCTAACACTGAGCTCTTAAGCAGTGGAAAACATTAACAACTTGCATTTGTATAGTGTCTCTCTCTCTCTCTCTCTCTCTCTCTCTCTCTCTCTCTGTTTAAGTCCATTTATGGGGGTGTGGCATGCCACAGCACGTGTGTGGAGATCACAGGAAAACTTTTGGGAGTCAGTTCTCTCCTTCCACCTTGTTTCCCAGCATTCAACTTAGTGAAAGATGCCTTTATCCACTGTTCCATACCAGCTGTATAGTTTCTATTTCAACTGACTGTATCAAAGCACTTTATAAACAAGTGGTATCCCTGGTCTGTGCTACTATAGAAACTGAGGCATGTGATTGACAGGCCAAGATTGCAGAATGAATTTTTGAAAGCTCTAGAAACTGCAGATCATTTTTATCCACATGCCAGCTATGGCATTGCTGTGACAGTCAGTCAGGCTTCTCTGCTGTTGTTCCTTTCCTGCCTGAAGGGGCAATCCGGGTTCTCTGTTCACCCTGTAGTCTTTTAGAGGCTTCTAGTAAGCCAAAGAACCTAGAGGAGATAGACTGTACTTGTTGACCTTGGGCAGAGAATGGATGGGGAGTGCATGGTTAACCCTCCTCAGGTTTTTCTGTCATGGCCACCTGGGGTAGGATGTGTGTCAGGATCAGCACATATTTCAGTGTTTTGCCATTCCTACAGCCTCTGTTCTTAGAATATCCTTTAAGTGAAGAGCTGGATTGTGCTCTGGATTTACATAGCCAGATTTTTAAGGCAAGGCCTTGGATAACTTTTCTGGGCTGAGGAGAAATCCCAGACTAGGGGTGAGAGCTAATGCCAGACATGGCAGCTAATGCCAGAAGAGACCTCCAAGATCTGGAGAAAGGGAGACTGAGGGGAACTTTGAAAGCAGCCTGACCAGATGGTCAAGACTCAACAGGCTTCATGTGCAGTGAGGCAGCAGATCTAAAAGAACTTGAAATTTTTCTTAAAATAATGAAATGGCTAATTTGAGGGAAATGTATCTCCAAGAAATGGCATTGGCATCTTTAACAAAATTGAAGGGAAAAAGAATAGACTGCTACCGAGGGCCAGTTAGGAAGGATCTGTGAACAGCCAAGATGCTCCCAGAGGCAGAAGCTTTGTGAGCTTGAACAACCTGCTCCAGTGTGTTGATTTGGGTAGCACTGTTGTTAAGTGTGTCCTTGTTTTGGTGAGTGGCCATAATGGACATAGTGGTGCTTGTCATTTTGTGTCCTAAGAGATGTGTTCTGAACTGGTAATAATAATAATGAGGTCACTAAACTTATTTGTAGTTTGTGGTTTGAGCTTCGTGAGAACTTTAGTGTGAGGCTTTTTAAGTATCAGAAAATTGAAAAAGAGACACGGGTGTAATTTTGATCCCTAACTGCCTCATACTCCTTTAAGGAAAGCAGCTTTTTGACTTTAAAATAACGATTTAGTCATGGCAAGGAGGTTATGGTTAGTATAGTTTGATCCACAGATTATTTACAAATGTGTTGCTTTCTAGGTGTCCCATTTCCTAGGCTAAGAATATGGTAAGGGCGGTGAAGCGGCTTAGCACACTTAGCTCTTTAACAATATTGTTTCAAGGGAGGTGGTAGGGCACACCTTTAATCCTGGCACTCAGGAAGCAGAGGCAGGTGGATCATCTACTTACTCTAGAGTAAGTTTTATTTAGTTTTTTATAATGATTGTTTCTATTTTTTCTCACCTCAGTATGTAAATATTCCTTTAGAGATGGTCTCGTATCTACCCTCTGACTTAAACCCCAGACTTGGGTTGGGGATTTAACTCAGTGGTGGAATGTTTGCCTAGCAAGCCTAAGTCCCTTGGGTTCAGTCTCCAGCTAAAAATCAAAACAAACCTGGAGACTTGAATTTAGCTACTTTGTCGTTAGTTTTTTTTTTTTTTGTCATCAAATGATTTGCTCCATGTTAGTCATTTTTCATTATTGTAACTATATACCCAAGCAAATGAACTTAAAAGGAGAAAGATGTGTTTTAATTCACCATACTAGAAGTTTCAGCTATGCTCAGCTGGTTCCTTGGCTATGGACCTTTGTTAAGGAGAATGTCTTGTCAATTGGAACCTGTGGCGATAGATAAACAAGAAAGGGCCTATATAGTCTCCTAATGCATACTATGATCCATGTCCTCCAACTAGGCCAAACCCACTAAAGTTTCCGCTACTTCCTAATAAGTCCATCAGATTATGAGCTCATTGGATTAATCCAATGATGAGATCAGAGCCCTCAAACTGTTGAAACTTTTATATAGTTACTTTTGTTTCCACTAATGGCTTAGTAGAAGACATTTACAACTGAATAGTGTTCACACAGTTACAGGATTGGCATCTCTGCTTTCACTGTGCTCAACACGTGGACATTTGTCTTCTCAGGCCTGTGCTCCTTGAGCCCCCCTGGGTTTGGTTTGTTTTTGTTTTTTGTTTGTTTTTTTTTTTTGGTTTTTTTTTTCCAGATTCTGTTGTTAAGGACTGCTTTCTTTTGGTCTGGGAGGTGGCAGAGCCTGATGGGGTGTAGGATTTAGGTTAGGATCAGAGTTTGAAGAGTCTGAGAATTTTGAATAGCCTTTAGTGAGTAAAACAACGAGTGTTTCCTGTAATGCTTGACACATGGCAAGACCTAGAAAAATAGAAGTTGGTTAGTATTACAAAGGAATTTGAAGAAAGTGTCCTAATGGGGTGGAGTAGCTTGGAATTAAAATTAAATCAGGTCTTAGATGTTGTATCCTCTATTGCTACTGTTTTGTTCTATTTGGAAGTCTATAAACCTAATACTGACTTCTGGCCCATTTATTTTCTCCCAATATTCATGCATAAATACACAAATATTTTTGTCCCAATCACCATTCCTTTGCAAAACTAATTAAATGTATCCTTAAGTAATGTCTCTGGTGATCACTCACATCACCACAACTAGGTCCAAATACCTTTATCCTTATCTAATTTTTTCTGATCCTTGGAAGCAAAGACAGACTGCAGGGGTTGATGCGGGACCTCCAGAATGGAGATTGCACAGAATAATCTTATTTTTCCTCTATTCTTCTAGTCTGTTATGTTCTGAACCCACACATGTTTTCGGAAGGACCAGATGGCTGACACTGGCTAATGGGAACCAAAAGACAAGAGTGAAAGTAACCCGGTTGTCTCATGCCCCAGCTTAGAGTGCTTCACCCTACCCCAAGACCAATGTCCTTTTTCTCTGGAGACTTCACCCTGCTGTACCAAAAAACTGCTACCACCTGGCTTATCTGAGGTTAGATAATGGTTAAGTCAAGCAGCAGTGCTTATTAAATAGAAAAGATTCTCTTCGGGACTGTGGGGAACAAGAGAAGCCTTTCAAAGGCTTTGGGATCTGTGGCTTAAAGCTGGAATTCAAGAGTCCTGAGCCTGGGTTCACCTCCAGCTCCACCACTTAAATGCTCCCTGACCGTGAACAAGCTGCCTGACCTCTCCATGCCTAGTTATCTCATCATGAGTGAAAATAATAATTCACTCTTCGCCTTTTATGAGTTACAAATGAAATATTACAGACAATAAAAATATGTCTTTATTATGAGCCAAGCACTGTGCTAAATACCCAATAGGTGCTAGCCTTTATTATGTGAAAGCCCTCATAATTGATGAGATAAGCACAAACCAAAAGAAACAGGGCTTAAAAAGAAAAGCATTGCCTTATAAGACAAAAAACTGACGGACGCGCTAGAGAAATGGCTGGATGAGCATCAGGCACGCAAGGTTCTGGGGCTTCCTGAAGGAGGTGCTTCTCAGCCATGAGCAAGGTTGAAAGGATTCAGCTTGTGTAGTCAGAGTGTTTAGAAGTCCGTAAAGATATTAGGCATAGACTTCTAAGCAACAGAGTAATTTCGCTGCTGGTCTTCCCCACTACAACAAAAGAGACAAGTTGCCTGAGTGAAAATAGCTATAGTCTGCAATTGTGATCAGACAGAAACAGTCCCAAGGACCCAGCGCAGTGAGAAAACTAGTGAACTTGACAGTAGATGCAGTGGATAGCCAAAGGAGGGTTGTCAGAAATGATTGCAAGGTTTTTGGGAGTGAATCAGGTGATCAGGGGCTCTGGAAGAGAGAAATCATGAGGTAGGTTTTCTTCTTTGAAGGTGGGGAAAGATCAAGTGCAGACTGAGCTGTGGCCAACCGTTTGCAGACCAGGAATCCACACTAGCTCTAATCAGAGAGCTCTTGGTGTGCGGGAACTGCCAGTTTGCCGACGTGAAAGAGCCCCAGGCTGGGTAATGGTGAGCCCTGAAGTCGCACCCCAGCTCTGCCACTGAGTGAGCACGGGTAAGTCTTCCACCTTCTCTGGATGGCCTTGATGGCCCTCCCTCCTCTGAGACTAAAGAAAGGGAGGGAAGAAAGCCAAGATCAGCCTCCTTCCTGTCTCAGAATAGGAAAGGGTCTCAGGAACCGGCTCCTGGAGCAGCAGCTGGCCACTATGGGTTGTAAACTCCCTCAGTCATTGTGGAAGTCAGCTCACACCCATGACCACTGATGCTAAGCAGTAAATGTGACACTGGTTAATATGCTGGAAGGGCCTGGCTGCTGGTGCCCTGGAATGCTGCAGACCTGTGGAGTCAGGGCAGTTACACTGTTCTCATTCACACGCTTCTCCAAGTTGGCCTCACCTGACCACAAGAGTTGGCTGTAGAACTGTCTTTGTTCTACAGGTTTCCGTGCACTTGATGCAGCTGTCAAGAATTACTCTTTCCTGTCAGTGTGTCCTTTTCACTTCTTAAGACCCAAGTTGGCTGAAGCCTAGGATCAACTGAGTGCATTGAGAAAAAAAAAAAAAAAAGCTGTTTGATTCCTGTTCACTGAATACCATTTCTTTCAGGGCAGATTTAAGGGCTCTGCCCTCAAAATACAGTGCTACTGGCTCTAGATTGAGGGTTCAAGCCACCCTATGGGTTAACTTCAACAGATGAAAATTTTTCCTTGGCTACAGCAACATCCCTAATCCTGACCAGCCATGGAGAGGTTCGGTTCTTACAAGGAAAATGAGTGAATGTGGGAATGGCTCACCACATTGGGAAAGCAAAACTCACATCCTGCTGATGGTTGGCTGAGGACTGTCATGTCCACATACAAAGAAAAGCATGTGGCACAGTTTTAGGACAAAGGTGAGCAGAGATCCACTGTGGAAAGGGGCACATTTCCTTATTGAGAGACCGTCCGAGGCATGCTCCTCGGTAAGCAGTGTTGGTGGGTGTCTGCAGTCGCATGGAGGCTTGCTTTCCCTGCTCCTTGTATTCACTCCCCGGCAGCACTCCCTAGTCAAACCTGCTCAGTTAGGCATTGAGCAGGCCAGCCATGCTTATCATTTCTCCCCTAGGCCTGTACTCCAGTCTCTGATGAGTGAGGGTGTTTGGAAGACAGACAACCCTAAATAAACTATTCTGAAGAGGGTGACATAAGTGGTGTCCTCTTCGGTGAAACATAAAGGAAAGTGCAAACCTCGTGGTGTTCAGGACCTTTGGTATTTACAAGTACTGGGGTCAGAGAAAGCTTGCTTGGCAGCATTGTGAATTTGGGTGATAATAACTTGCAAGAAATGTGACTAGCATTTCTAAAATGGATAGCTTAAGAGACCTTGTATTGAAATCAATATGTCATTCCAGTTGTACTTTTTCAGTTTGACCAATAACTGAGCAGTACATCAGCTGTGCATGAGGAAGACTAGAGCATTCATTCCAGGGGTGAGAATGGACCAAAATCTGAGCAGCCATGGGTGCAACATGGCTTTACTTTATGCTGTCCAGGTACCCACATGCCTTGTTTCAGAATCATAAGGCTCCATAAGGAGAAAGTAATACTAGCTTTCCCTTTCCCCTCATTCTTTTGACTGTATTTGTCAGGATGTGCCAAGACCACGGGAAACACTTTGGCAAAGAAGCAATAGAGAATCACTGAAGGAAAATTTTGTGTTTAATTGAAGTGTTGTGTGTGTGGTAGTTGCTTACACATAGCATGAGGAAAGCATAAAAGGCTGCCACCCTAGAGGAAGTTGAGATAGGGATTTTTAATCGGTTTCTGCAAGATAGAGCCTGCACTTAAATTCCTTCTCCCCAGTCTCCTCACACTCATCAGTCTCATACTAAAATCTCTTCAACAGTGTTCTTAATGCAACAGCAGCAGCAGGTTTATAGTTAGAGAAATATATCTATCCAAGTCGTGTTTTGTGAGACTTACAGGTCCCACCAGGTGCTTTGTCATGTGATAAAGTCACACGTATGCCTCAGAATCCCTCTTTACCTGGACAGGAAATTCCAAAGAAGAGCTTTGTTGGTTTTTTAAGAATAAGTCAGTTTCGTGTTACTTGGTATGAAATACAAAATGGGCGGTGTTCATGTTAATATTTAATTTTAAAAATACATTTATTAGCTGTGCAGTGGTGATACATGCCATTAATCTCAACACTCAGGAGGCAGAGAGGTAGGTGGATGTCTGAACTCCAGGATAGCCAGGGCTACATAGAGAAACCCTGTCTCAAAAAAAAAAAAAAAGGAAAGAAAGAAAGAAAATTTAAAGAAGGGTACAGGTTGGTTTTTGAAGAATCCGATTTGAAAATGAAGATTTCCTTTTTGAAGATATGAAAGTTTAACTGAAGGACTGCTAAGTTTTTTAAAACTAATTTGGGACCCACAGTTTTAAAAGATATCTTAGATAATAAAATGTTATTTATCCCTGACTCTGGTATTATTCTCTCTTGGTCTAGACCTGCCCAATTTTGAAAGTTTAAATTATCCACTCATTTAATATACTCTTGATGTTGAGACAAACCTTAGTTGTATGAGGCATATACTCTTCCTTGACAATTAGGCACAAACAAGTTTGCTGTAAAGTTTGTTCTTAACAGAACTGGGCCTACAGCCAGTCCAGGGCTTGCTGACCATCTTAATAGTTGTGAGTCAAAGCTCCGCACAAAAGCCCTGCTGAGTTCTTAATGAGAGAATTCTTTAACTTTTGTGCCTCAGTTTCTCATTTGTGAAGCTGGTTTATTGGTACCTGACTCTTGAGTGCTATGAATATTAATTAAAGTCACATTGTTTAGAATAAGAGGTATTTGATGAATACATTGTATTACATTACTTACCCAGGATGCTGCCTCTTTGAGGGGGCCATTCACTGGACCTGCTCACAGAAAGCAAAGCTGAGTGGACAGCATTTTGGTAGAAACACACTTGACCTAATGTTTGTTCTATCCTCAGAACCAGAATTCCCCACCATTTCTCCTTTTTTTTTTCTCTATAGTATTTTTGTGATTTCAGCTCCATCCAACATGCCATTGACAGAGAGAAGTGACAATCTAATGTCTGATTTGATCTTTGATCTGGACTTTGCCATTAGAATGCTCCAAATAGATTTTTAAGCTTTTCACAGAGGAGTCACCAAAGCTTTCTTGGGAAATAAATTGGACCTTAAGTCAACTATTTGAATAAGTACCCCCATAAAGGCTACTAAATGCCCCCCCGTGGAGTTTTTAGAAGTAAATATTAGGAAATAAAGGACCAATTTCCTTTGGCATCATAAATTGTCCCTGTGTCTTGCTTCAGCCTCAGTGGTAGAGATTGGTCTGTCTGAGCATTGATTTATGTTTAAATGACTGTGCCTCCCCTAAGCTGTCACTGCTTTCCTGAAAGGTCACATGAGCTCTGAGCTCTGCATGTAAAGCATAGAATGGGGTGGTCTCTGCTGAGAACAGCATTCACATAGGAGTCTAAGCTGAAGCCTCACTGAGCCCACAGCCGCTGGGCTTCCTGCCTCATTTGCCCTGCAGGACTTAGGGTCTGGGTTTGTGATTCTGTGATCTGTAATATAAACCTTAAGTGTTTGGGGGAAATATTTTTTGATTTTCCTGTAATTGATTTGTTTAGTCTTTAGGAGTCGGTGCTGTTGTGTCCTCACATTAATTCACTTCTGATCATTGACGGGTGCTGAGCCAGTGGATACCTTTTAAAGAGAGAAAGCCATTTCATCATGCCCATGACAAGTGTTCTTGCCCACCCTTCTACTTGGTGTCTGCTTGTCACCTGGTGCCAAGGGCAGTGAAACATGAGCAAAGGAGAGCAGAGCTGGTCCAGGACTGGTCTGCACAGTTAGAGAAAGGACCGTACTTGGATCTTCTTGGTATTTTATGATCTCTAAATAGATCCTAAACCAAACCAAAGTAAAGTAGTGTTTGGATTTGTTGGTTTTTTTAATTTGCTTTTTGAAAAACTTTACCTTGCCAGGTATGGTGGTGCACACCTTTAATCCCAGCACTGGAGGCAGAGGCAGGTGGATTTCTGAGTTCGAGGCCAGCTAGGGCTATAGCAAGACCTGGTCTCATAAAAAACAAACAAATTACCTGTTAAATAATTACTTTCCTGTTGACTCATCTTACCTAGAAGGGGAAAGGCAGCTGCAGTATAGTGTCCCTTAAGGGATTTTAGTGACTAGTAGTTTTGAACATGAGTGGTTAGGAAGGCTTTCTTCTATTTGCCTTGACAAATGCAGCAGCATGTTTGTTTAAGACCATTATTATTATTGTACTCCTAATTCCAGCCTGTGGAAGCCTGTTTCAAAGACTCCACAGAGCTACAAAAGCAGGTGTTCTGAAAACACTTCCTGTTAAGTAAGTAGGTGTGTCTTATTTTTGTTTCTTTTTTTAATGGAGATTCTTTTTTCTTAAAGTTTGAATGCCACTTAGACATTTTAGCATAAAGGACCCTCTAAAACAAAAGGGACCACCAAGCTCAGTGGATAAAGGTGCTTTCTGCCAAGGCCGACTACCTAAGTTCAATCCTTAGGACCCATGTGGTGGGAGAAGAGACTCAACTCCCACAAGTTGTCCTCTGACCTACACACAGGAGCCACGATACACACTTTTTTTAAAATTGTAATTTAAAAAAATTAACTCTCCAAAGCTTGACCTGGACATTGTCACCTTGAGAGATTTGTTTGGAAAAAACTCTTTAGTAAAGGTAAATTTCAGCAATTTTGCATTCTCATTTGACATTTTAACTAATAGATCACCAACTCAAGAAACTGGACTAGGTAGGCACAGTGATACACACCTGTAATCCACACACGGGGAGGGGGAGGGGCTACTAAGTTCAGGGCCTGCCAGGGTTCCATAGTGAAACCCTACCTCCCCCCACAGAAAAAATAATCCTGAGATTTTTGTTGTTGTTGTCCCTGGCAAGTCTTGTGGCCTGTGTCAGTGTCACTGTGTTTAAAGAGGAACAAACACTGTTTGCACTGTGCACGGCTTGCAAGAACCGAAAGAACTGGCTTGTAACTCCTTTGTGACTGGGCAGGATCAGAAGGATGACTTTGGTTTTTAAATACAGACAGTATTCACAAAGCAGGTCTTTCATAGACCAAACTAAATCTTCATTCAAGAGAGTTTAACCTTGCTTGTAAGTATTTTACAGATTCTGTACTTTGCTTAACAAACTGTAGTCTGTAGCAGGCATTAACAGGATTTGGGGGGGCAGTTTACCCTACATGTATTAAACCACCAACCATATCTCTTTTCTCGAAAGTATCTAGTAATACAGTATATAGATATTATACAGTGGTATGTAGACAGTTCCAGCCTACCTCCAAACACCATGGAAATGAACTTGGAACCCCACGGGGAAGTAAGCAACTCCAGATGTTTTCTCCAGTAATTTCTAGAACAGTTAATTCATTTGTGACTGATTTGTTTAGGTAGGAAAATAGGAACTCTCAAAAAAAAATTTGGCAAAAGAGACTTAAGATAATGTGACTTTTACCTGCTTTACTTTGAACATGATTTAGCAGTTAATAAAACAGTGGAAGCCCAGCTGTACCTAAGGTACATGTGTAAAGCTGCCAGAGGGTGAGTTTTCATGTGGTGTTTAAAATATCACAGATCGAGTCCTGGGAAGTGCAGAGTTTTGATTCCTTAAACCAAGCAGCCCTTGAAAGCATTTGCTGCTGCTTCCTGCTAGACTTTACACAACCTTTGACTCTTGCAGTTGCCTGTTGGCCCAAAACAAGGTGGTTCTGGCTACACAAAGAGAAACTTGGCCCTTAGTTTGCAACCCCCAGCCTGTGCTAAGCATGAACCTCATTGATTTCTGACATATTAATGGAGCTGGTTGCTAGTGGTGCTGACCAGGTTTTGTTTGCTCTCTTGTAGGTATGGTTTTGTGGAGTTTGATGATCTGCGTGATGCAGATGATGCTGTTTATGAGCTGAATGGCAAAGACCTCTGTGGTGAACGAGTCATTGTTGAGCATGCCAGAGGCCCACGCCGGGATGGCAGTTACGGTTCTGGACGCAGTAAGCATTTGAAGGACATATTTGTATCAGTTACATGCCTTTGTTATAAATGCTATTTAAAAGTACTTATATTTAAGCTGTTTATATAAGATTGTATCTTTTAAAATACAGAATTATAAGTAAAATTTTTAAAACTCAATGGCATAAATTTGTTTTAATGTTTCATAATGTTTAATGATGTGCAATTGTTTTATATATATTTATGAAAGATCTCAATTTTAATTAAAAGAATCCTTTGAGGCTAAGATGACCACCTGTTCCATTTGCTGACCTTGGTTATCCTTCTATCAGTGGCTCTTGGCTGACCAAAACCAGGAAGCCATGTGATAACCACAGTCATACTCAGACTTGGATCGTGAGAACCCTTTAGCTGCAGATGAAATTAGGTTCTCTTCCCCCCCCCCCATGTAAAATAGTCACAAAAAAATTTAACCACCATGGGTAATAATAGTGACTGATTTAATAATTTGCTTTTCCTAAATTGTTATCTCTTATGTATACTAAAATTTAAAATATAAATATTAATTGATGAGTATGCATTCTTATAACTTGCTAAATTTTCATGTTTAAACTCTAGAATTAAAGGTGAGGCTAAAGTTAAAATGTACATGCCATTGTTTGGAGAGGAGGCATGAAGTTGCATATTTTGAGTGTGTGCTGTGTCATCTCCATTTTACACTGTAGTAATCTGTCTGTTTGAACCTTCTAAAGGTGGATATGGCTATCGAAGAAGTGGGCGAGATAAATATGGTCCTCCTACCCGCACAGAGTACAGACTTATTGTGGAGAACTTGTCAAGTCGGTGCAGCTGGCAAGACCTCAAGGTTTGGGCCTCATCAACTTCTCAGATAAGGTTGGGCATGGGTAAGAGTAGGAAACAAGCAATTTATGCAGGCCTGGGCATTCAACGGTGTAATGGTTACAGACTTAAAACCACCAGAGCATTGGGCAGTTCTCCAGATAAAGGTCCTATAGGAGTGAGTACAAAGGGCATCAAAACACCACTCCTACTTTACATATGAGGAGGCTAACTGCTCCAAGGAATCATTTGTATTACATGAAATTTTCCATTACAGACAATGTTCTAGGGAGCTAATGGGGTGGAGCTGCATAGAAAAAACTATGTTTTTTGTTTTTTTTTTTTATGTTTCTGCAAACCCAAGCTGGAACATTGCAGATGTCAGCTTCTAGTGTGGGTCGGCACAATGTCTAGCCTGTGTTCTTTTGTAAGGTTTGTTTCTCAGTCAGGTGTGGTGCTGTGTGTGGATAAGCGGTCAGGACAGGAAGATCATGAACTTGAGGCCAGCTAGAGCTGCATAGTGAGTTCCAGAAGTGAAACCTTAGAAAGGTGGTGGGGCCGTCCCCTCTTTCAAGAAATACTGAAGCCAGGTGATGGGGGCACACGCCTTTAATCCCAGCACTTGGGAAGCAAGAGTTGGAGGCCACCTGGTCTACAGAGTGAGTTCCAGAAGTGAAACCTTAGAAAGGTGGTGGGGCCATCCCCTCTTTCAAGAAATACTGAAGCCAGGTGATGGGGGCGCACGCCTTTAATCCCAGCACTTGGGAAGCAAAAGTTGGAGGCCACCTGGTCTACAGAGTGAGTTCCAGGATAGCAAGGACTATGCAGAGAAACCCTGTCTCAAAAAAGAAAGAAAGAAAGAAAGAAAGAAAGAAAGAAAAAAAGAAGAAGAAGAAGAAGAAGAAGGATGAGAGAGAATTTGGTTCCAGAGGCATTTCACAGTTTCCCTGTGTAGCCTGGCTGGCCTTTAACTCCTCTGTCTACCCCAAGTGCTGTGATTAAAGGGATGCACTACCATACTTGAAAGAGGCAACTCTTATAAGGATTTACTCAAAGCCATACTATGGGGCTCTCCCTCCTAACTTTGCTTCATGAAAATATAATTCCATCTGGGTGGTGGCACACGCCTTTAATCCTAGCTCTCTGGAGGCAGAGGCAGGCGAATCTCTGAGTTCGAGGCCAGCCTGATCTATAGAGCGAGTTCCAGGACAGACTCTAAAGCTGGACGGAGAAACCTTGTCTGGGGTGGGGATGATTCCATATTTGATTCTTACTGTCTCTGTTCACTAATGACTACCTCACTGACAAAGTTAACAACTTTGTTGAGATTTACTGTCCATTGTAGAAGGAGTGGCGGGCCGCTTCCTGCAGCCCGGCTCCCAGCCACCTGGCTAGCTAGCTTATACCCCGAAATAACACACAAATTGTATTCATTTAAACTGCCTGGCCCATTAGTTCTAGCCTCTTATTGGCTAGCTCTCACATATTGACTAACCCATAACTAGTAATCTGTATGCTACCACGAGGTCGTGGCTTACAGGCATGAGTCTAGCCAGCATCCATCTCAGGAAGGGGAATCATGGTGTCTGCCTGGCTCTGCTTTCTTTCTCCCAGCATTCTGTTCAGTCTACTCCACCTATCTAAATTTTGCCCTATCAAAAATCCAAGGCAGTTTCTTTATTAACCAATGAAAGTAACACATAGACAGATGACCCTCCTACATCAGTCTATATCTATAAGATTGGTACAGTTATATCTGCCTATGTGGTTATAATCAGGAGTAAGCACTTAAAACATGATGGAGCATTCAATGTGGAGCTGCTGTTAGGAGCCATCTATTATCCATCACTTCCAATTTGGAAGTGTGGCTAGCTGAAATAAAGTAGTGGCACTGGGGACTGAAGAGATGGCTCAGCAGTTAAGAACACTTGCTCTTGGGGCTGGAGAGATGGCCCAGTGGTTGAGAGCATTGGCTGCTCTTTCAGAGGACCCAGGTTCAATTCCCAGCACCCATACGGCAGCTCACACTTGTCTAACTCCAGTTCCAAGAGATCTGATGCCAGTGTACATAAAATAAAGTTGTTTTTTTTTTTTAAAGAACACTTGCTCTTCAGCAGAGTTTGCACCCACATGGTAACTCAAAGCAGTCAACAGGCATGTGTTAATCCCAACACTCGGGTAGATCTCTGTGAGTTTGTAACCAGGTACAGAGGACCCAATACCTTCTGACCTCCCTGAGGCCGTGTGCAAGCAAACACTCATACACATATAGAAATTTAAAAAATAGTAGCACTGGCCCAGCTTTTTACCAGTTGTCTTCACCCTCGTCTATTCAGGGTAATCCCATTTTGGTCTAACTATGACTAATGTCCTAGTTTGGATGGCTCCCAGTCCTTTATCCAGAACCCATACTTCTGCAAATAATTCAAATAAATTCTGTGCAGAGGCATTCTTGATTGGATTATGAATAATGGTCAAAATCTAGGTGTAACCTCCACTAATGACAACCTTCAGAAATATGCAGGGTGGTAACTAGGAATATTATGTCTATTAAGACACTGACAGACATGTTTGTGAAATAGCAAGTAGGGAAATGCCGTAAAATGACCTGCTCAGTGTCTTCCAACTTGGTCGGAACAGAACTCAGCAAAATGAACGCAGACCACAAATGTCCATCAAGTGTGTTACATACTAACACTGGGAATTAGCCGATGCCCTACATCTTAAATTCTGCCCAGATCATTCCTCTTGGCCATCTATTGTACTTCCTTTATTCATACATCGGGTCCCCCTCTGTTCTTTGACTTGACCACACTGTCCTGAGACAATGAGGACAAAGGCCTGTGGTCATGAAACTGTGGCCAGTTTCAGTTGCCTTCTGCACTTTAACTTGTATTTTTTTTCTTTAGGATTACATGCGCCAGGCAGGAGAAGTGACATATGCAGATGCTCACAAGGGACGAAAAAATGAAGGGGTGATTGAGTTTGTGTCTTACTCTGATATGAAAAGAGCTTTGGAAAAGTTGGATGGAACTGAAGTCAACGGCAGAAAAATCAGACTAGTTGAAGACAAGCCAGGTTCTAGACGGCGCCGGTCTTACTCCAGGAGCCGGAGTCACTCAAGGTACTGTTGACATTGTGAGTGGGCATTCTACAGTAATTCACTAACCAACATGGACAGCCCACTCCTGCTCTCCTTTTAGGTTCTCAGAGCATGATTCCATGCGGTTCAGTAACTCAGAACTTTGATCTGAACATTTATTTGTGAAACTCCTGAACTCTTACATCACAAATATAAACAGAAGTAAAGTCCTTTTTTTGAGGCACAACTCAGTGGCCTCACCTTTCTTCTGGAGAGCTGAGTCACAGACTGGGTTAGAAGCATGTGTGGCCACTGTGCCTGTGCTTACTCTTCTTGATGAACAAGTCTCAAGAGTAGAGATCACCAGCCAGACCTGGTCCCTGCCTTCCCTGGAGAAAACAGGCAGTGAGCAAGTAGTGGCCATTGTGACCATTGTGATGGGTGCACAGGACTGTCTCTCTAGAATGAGGCAAGGGTGACTTTCCCAGGATAGTGAGCTACAACTTTTCATACATTTGTGTTAAAGTGAGGCCGTCTGGTGCATTTTCCCACAGTTTAAATTCCCTGTGAACTCAAGGCTAGGAGTTCACATTAAAAACGGGGCATATTTCCACAAGGCTACAGCTTTAGTAGTGCGCTGTCCCTAACTCCTGTCAACCATAAGTAGCATCTGTGTGACTGACCACTCTCCAGAAACAAAGGTGCTCTTTTGGTGTCTCTGGATGAGTGTGTGTTGTGTTCCACTGTAGTCATGATTTTAGTACTCAGGCTGATTCTGTCTGTTGTCACCGGAGCCCTGTATCTTCAGTCTCCTGCCTTTTGTTCCTGTTTGCTTTCCATTCGAATGCACTTTACTGCTTCCCCATGCCTTTCCTTGTGCTCATTCTCAAACCTCAAAGTTGAAAGGCCAGTTTGGATATGATTGCAGTGGTTCTGCCTTGTTTTCCTTCCTTCCTTTGTATTTATTACATACTCTTGTGTTTGAGCTGTGTTTGAAGCATATCGTAAGTTACACCACTTACACACATAGAATATAATTGTGTCTTTACCAGATAGCAAAGCAATATTCATATTTCCCTGGTTGCTCCATGGGTGTGTTTGTGCTGGGGTGTTTCCTGGCCAGGATCCGGCTCAGTCATGTAGCAGAGATCATTAAGTTTCTTTAACCTGGAACATTTCCACATATTATCTTTGACTCTTAGCACTGGGATTACGAGTATGCACCACTATGCCCTACTGCTATCTGAAACGGATGATTTTTGATTGGAAAAAATGTCTTGGTTTGCTCTAGACAGCCTCTTTTTTTATACAATTACAGCTTCTTTTTTTTTATATAATTAAAGTTCTTTATGTGTGTGGTTGTTTTCCCTGCATGTGTGTCTGCATTTGTGTGTACCTGCTACCTGCCAGGGCCAGAAGAAGCATCATATCCTTTGGGATTAGAGTTACAGACCGTTGTGAGCTGCCATGCGCGTGCTGCATATCAAACCTGGGTCCTCTGCAAAAGTAGCCAGTGGTCTTAACTGCTGAACCATCTTTTGAGCCACTGTAGACAGCCTTTTACTGGCAATCTTTTTTTTAAGTTTTATTTTATGTGTATGGATATTTTGCTTTGCATGTATGTCTGTATACCATGTGCGTGCCTTCTATCTGCTGAGTCAGAGGAGGGAGGAGGGTATTAGATCCCCTGGAACTAGAGTTACAGATGGTTGTGAGCCACCATATGAGTGCTGGGAATTGAACCCAGGTCCTCTGCAATAAGTGCTCTCTAACACTGAGCCAACTCTGCAGCCCCTTGTTGGTAATTTAAAGTTTTTGTTTTCTCTCTTGCATGTGGTGGTCTCAAGAGGTAAGGCAAGTGAATTCTGTGAGTTCAAGGCCAGCCTGGTCTACCTAGCAAGTTCCAAACCAGCAAAGGTTAATGAGACCCTGTCTCAAAAAAGGTTTTTCTCTCTACAGGTCTCGCTCTCGAAGCAGACATTCCCGGAAGAGCAGAAGCCGAAGTGGCAGCAGCAAAAGCAGCCATTCAAAGAGCCGATCCCGATCCAGGTGGGCCTGCAGCTTCCCTCGTCCTAGCCCCACATGGTCTGTGCGCACTTTACTTCCTGACTTGAAGAGTGTCGAGTCACCTGTTACTCACTTAGCACCTATGTCTTCCAGGTCAGGTTCCCACTCCCGCAGTAAGAGCCGCAGCCGCAGTCAGAGCCGCAGCCGCAGCAAGAAGGAGAAAAGCCGGAGTCCCAGCAAAGACAACAAGAGCCGCAGTCGCAGCCGTAGTGCTGACAAGAGCCGAAGCAAGAGTAAAGATCATGCTGAAGACAAGCTCCAGAACAACGACAGTGCTGGCAAAACCAAGAGCCGCAGCCCCAGCCGCCACGGCAGCAAGAGTCGGAGCAGGAGCAAGGAGAGGAGAACGGAGGAGGAGAAGCGAAGGAGCGTGAGCAGGAGTCACAGCCAGGAGAAGAGACGAAGCCAAGAGAAGAACCTCAAGAGCCGGAGCCGAAGCCGGAGCAAAGGGGGCAGCCGGAGCCGCAGCCGCAGCAAAAGCAAGGACAAGCGGAAGGGCAGGAAGAGAAGCAGGGAGGAAAGCCGAAGCCGTAGCCGCAGCAAAAGCGAGCGCAGCCGCAAGCATAGCAGCAAGCGAGACAGCAAGGTTAGCAGCAGCAAGAAGAAGAAGGAGGACACCGACCACTCCCGGTCACCATCCCGCTCAGTGTCAAAGGAGCGGGAGCATGCCAAGGCAGAGTCTGGCCAGAGGGAAGGCCGGGCCGAGGGGGAGAGTGCTGGTCCCAATCCAGAGCCCCGAGCCAGGTCAAGATCCACTTCCAAATCCAAACCTAGTCTCCCTGCAGAGTCACGCTCCAGGTCGAAGTCAGCTTCAAAAACACGCTCTCGGTCCAAGTCTCCATCCAGGTCTGCTTCCAGGTCGCCCTCCCGATCTAGATCCAGGTCCCACTCAAGGTCCTAACTGACTATGCCACACTGGAACTGCCGAGAAGTCTTTTGTACATGTTGGTAGCCGTAGCACAAGAGTGAAGTAGAACACCCTCACCGCTGTACATTGAACTCCCCTAATGGTGTGTCTCCAATTGTTCAATCTCAGTGCTTCCTCGGTACCACCTCCTGGCGCCAGGCCTCCCGCTCCACTGAAAAGCAGCTCCTCAAACCTCCCTTTACTCACAGCAGGACATCCAAACGCCTTGGCTCTAAGGCCTGGCCACGGCTAAAGGGAGCTCAGCACCCCGACGGCTTCTCGGGCTGGAATGATGGCATAGGTAGGTGTGGTGAGTTCAACTGTTTTGCCCTTGAATTGATGCCCTTTGATGTATGCCACGTAGTGAAAGTGCAAGTCTTCAGTTTCCCACCACTTTGGTTTCCTATTTTTGGACTTAACAACGTTGTGAATAGCACAGTCAAGAGAAATTGATACTGCATAGCCCATAGGAAGTAAACTGTAGAGCTCCATATTCTGGTATTGTGATTATATTGTTTTATATTAAAAAAGAAAAGAATTTTTTTTAATTTTATTTTTCCCCGTCTTGCAAAGTATAGTGACCCCTGTTTCCATTAAATTTGAATAAAGACTATTTTTGCTTGACAAAATTTCATTGTGCTTGAATCTAAGTAGCATTTCCTGATGTGTCATCTGTCCTGCTGTTTTTCCTGTGGTGAGGAAACAAGACTTCCCAAAGGACTTTCTCACCCAGCAGAGTGAAGGTGAGTCCCCAGGGTTTTTGATTCTGGGGTTCTCTTGAGAAGCTTGTGGTCAAGCTGAGGAGAAAATGAGGCTATCTGGAAAGCGCTTCACCAGTGAGTCCTTCACAAGCAAGTGGTTCTTCCGTGTTTGTTGTTCTTGTCATGGGCTTTCCCACCATGATCCTTCACTGTAAAATCTGAACTGAAAACCAGGGGGCAAGCTGCTGGATATCCTCTCCCGTTGTTCTTGCATTAACTGCTACTTAGCTTAGGAAATCCCTGACGCAGCGGCTCCAGCCTGCTGCATGGACGTAACTGAGCAACTTAGTCCATGTGGCAAGCGGGGAGGACAGAGCTGATGCACAGGAGTCTGTTGATCTGTCCCTGGAGTGCAAGCTGTTCGTAGAAATACAAAATAACTGTCCCCTTCCCAGAGATGTGACCTGTCTGTAAATGACCAACACTGAAGGTGGCCACTGAGGCTTAGGCTTAAAGACGTGTTCAGGAGGCACACTGGTTGGAAGGAAAACTGAGCAAAGCCGCTCAGATTGAGAAGCATAGGCAGTGTGCCAAGGAACATGGGTTTGAGTAAGTGGTAGGGCAAGCCCAGCAATGGTGATACCCAGATGAAGGTATGGGAAGGGGAGCCAACCTCTGACCTGTCAGCACAGCAAACTTTGAAAGCATAGAACAGGAAAGTGCTCACAGAGCAATGCTGGGGGCCTGCAGGCTGGAACGTGCAAAATACCAGATGGCATGGAGCATGGTCAAGGTCATGACAGGAGAGGACATAAGAATGACCAGTGAGGCATAGTCAGTGGCCTGGGCAAGGGATTTGTTGGCTGGTGATGAAGCTACTCTGAACAGAAGAGGTAGTGAACTGGCTCAGTTTGGACCATGGGATCCCTACAACAGTCCATGAACAGTCTAGGCAGCTAAACTATAGATCTCCAAGACTCTGGTGAGCTTCCCATACCTTTATCTGGGCTCATTATGTGGTCGTGACAAGGTAAGGAATCCACCTCAATTTCATACAGGTCCCCAGTAGGTGTAAAAATACACTCTCTCCTCACTTTACCCCTGTAAGGATGGGGACATTCGAGGCATTTTAAGTGTGGTAGTTTGGGTTTTTTTGTGTGTTTTGCCTACATGTATGTTCACACCATGTGCATGCCTAGTGCCTGTTGAGGTTAGAAAAGGGTTTCAGGTCCCCTGGAACTGGAGTTAGAGATTGTGAGGCACATGTGTGCTGGGTATTGAATCCAGGGCCTCTGCAGGAGCACCTGATGGTTTTGACATCGTGCTGTCTCTCCAGGCCCTACAATTATTAAAATTCATCTATATTTTACTCTTAAAACATTTTCCTGTCCCACCTTTCAAGTTTTGTTCGATTCCTTTGGCTTCTAAACAAACATATGCTTCTAATTAAGCTTTGTGGTGGATGTGGGGAAGCTCACTTCACTTGGCACATTGATTCTAACCAGTGATCTTTAGGTGCAACCTTACGAAAATTCTGTATGTGTGCAAATCCCTGGTGGTATGTTTCGCTGGTGGTTCCAAGCTTGAAGCTCGTCTCATTGCAGGGAAGACACGCTCCCTGAACATCGTTAGCTTTGTTCTCAGTGACCCTCTGTATCTGTGTGGTCGGTCCCTGTGGCAGCAAGGAAGCTACATGCAGCATGCCATGCAGCCTCTCCAGCATTAGAGTACCATTTGGAGGTTAGTTTTGGATGAGTCCTCTTCTGGTGGAGCCTAACAGTGCTCCTTGTCTGGGATCCTAAGGACTGGTGTGCCCATTATGAGTGCTGCTCATCCTCTTCGGCCACAAGCTTTAATTGTCAAGCAAATCACTGGGGATTCAGGGACTCTCCTGCCTCCTCAGTGAAGTTTGTCTACAGTCATCACTTTGGATCACATTATGTTTCCTAGACATTGGGTCAAAGAGTTAAGTAAGGTCCTGCTCCGTGCTGCTCTGCCCTCAGTCCAGTGAAAGACGTTGAGAGGGAAGTCCTGATTTCCAGCATTCCTTCTTACTGTGGAGTAGGTGTGCCCATGGATATTGTTAGGTTGCCCAGTTATGATGAAAACTTAGAGATGGAGTGGTTCAGCCAGCATGGCATAGTGAGCGACAGCTACAGAACTCTCATCTGCAGTGGTGAAGTCCAGCAGGTTTGCCACAGGGCTGAATGCGCTTTCCTGCTAAAGACCTGGGACTGACAAGGTGGCACAAGGGGTTGGATCCCAGATTGCCACAAGGGGGCAGGCAAGAACCAACTCACAAGAGCTAAATTCTCTACTCATGGGCACCTAGGTGCATGTACATTGTTGCACTCAGATACACTTAGACTGCACAATCACCACGTGAAAGACAAGGCAAGCAGGTCTGAGACCTTGTCTCAACAAAAAAAGGTTGTGGTCATACAGCTTCACTCACCCTATTGTGAATATTTTATTACATTATTACATTATCTGACCTTATTTGGGGAGAATCGTGCATTCAGGAAATCAGTTTCCCCCTCCATGTGTTGTGTGGACTGAACTTAGGTCCTGGAACTTGGTGACTGGTGCCATACCCCTCTGAGCCATCTCAGCCCCTGCTGTGAAGATGTCAATTGCTCTACCATTTGACCAAATAAGCCTATTCTGGGATTCCCACCTGGCCAAAACCAGGTCACCCCACAATAGCAATGGCAGAACCGGGCCCAATTTCATCTCAGCGGTGAAAACAGCAGGGCACGCATGTGCTACCACCCCCCAAATAAGCAGTGGAGGGTTCCCAGGAAGCAGTCACTGCAGTCTGCTTTGTTGGGGCTCTAAGTTCACACATGCCTCTTTCCCAGCCGGCCTCTGTTCTCCACCTGTGGGGTAGAGGATGAAAGAGAAAACAGAAACAAAGCACAGCCAACAAGCAGCACAGACAAGCTGTTGTGATCACTAGGTCCCATGGGGTGAGGAGTTGATTGGCTGGAGTGAAAAGGCAAGACACAACTGTGATCCATAAGAGATCACAGGAACTGGGGTGTGCTGATACAGTGCCTGCCTACCATGCGTGGGCCCTGGGCTTGGTTCCCCTTACGATTATATGTGAATAGTTAAAATAGGCACTGACTTTAGGGGGCTAGAGGAAGACATAACCATGGTAGTCCTAACAGAAGACTGGGGGCCAGACATCACTCTATTTAATCCTAGTACTGGGGAAGTGGAACCAAGCAGATATCTGATGTGAGGCCAGTCTGGTCTACACAGTAGGTTCCAGAACAGCAGGGCTATCTAGTGAGACCCTGTTTCAAAAGAAAAAAGAAAAACCTCAACTACCCATATCAGTAATTCGCAGAGCACCTCATGAAAATCAGTAAGAACATACTTGAACAGACTCCTGCAATCAGTTGGATCTAATGTTTATAAAAGACTTCATACAGCTGTTGGAAAGTGTGGCTCAGTTAAGAGCAAGTACTGCTCTTGCTCTTGCAAAGGACCAAGTTTGATTCCCAGCATCCAAGTTTTAACTCACAATTGCCTGATCCATCACAATTGCCTGATCCTCTGAGGTCACCTTTTCTTATGCATGCACACTTTTTTTAAAAAAAAAACTCTCGACTGAGCAGTTGTGGTGCATGCCTTTAATCCCAGCACTTGGGAGGCAGAATCTCTGAGTTTGAGGCCAGCCTGGTCTACAGAGCAAGTTACAGGACAGGCTCCAAAGCTAAATACAAAGAGAAACCCTGTCTTGAAAAACCAAAAGAACAAAAACTTGGCGGCTAAAGACTTGTAGGTTTCTCTTTCAAACAACCCATGTTTGACTGTCAACACCAACAACTATTGAGTCAGTTCCAGGGGATCCATCTCCCTCTTCTGGCCTCTGCAGGCACTGCACACACATGTTATACATATATTATGTCATAACAAAACACCTATTCACAAAATCTTTTAAAAATAATAATTCCTGGGGCTGGAGAGATGGCTCAATGGTTAAGAGTACTGACTGCTCTTCCAGAGGACCCAGGTTCAATTCCCAGCACCCACATGGCAGCTCACAACTGTCTGAAGATCCATTTGCAGGGGGTCTGACACCTTCACACCAATGCACATAAAATAAAGTTAAATAAACCATAAAAAATATTTAAAAAAATAATAATTCCTGGGGACTGGAGAGATGACTCAGCAGTTAAGAGCATTGACTGCTCTTCCAGAGGACCTGAGTTCAATTCCCAGCAACTACATGGTGGTTCACAACCATCTGTAGTAAAATCTGGTGTCATCTTCTGGTCTGTAGCCATACATGCAGACAGAATACTATATACTTAATAAATAATCTTTTAAAAAAATTAATTTCCCCAACTTAAATGGAAAATTCATCAATATATGGACCACAGTGGCGTTGTAAAACAGACTTTAACACATCAAAAATAGAAATCATGAAAACATTGCTAGAGTGATGGCTGAGTGGTTTAAGAGCCCTTGGCTGCTCTTCTAGACGGACTGGGTTCAGTTCCCAGCACCCACATGGTGGCTCCAGCCTTCAGTAGTTCCAGTTCCAAGGGATCTGATACCCACTTCTGACCTTCATGGACACCAGGCACACATGCACAGATAACCATACACACTGGTGGGGGTGGGGATAATGAAAGGTGCTCAGTGAGTAAAGGCCTGACAACCTGGAGCTTATGGTGGAGGGGATTCCACATGCCCCTACACACATAATGTAATTTTAAAGATTTTTAGAATGAAAAATTTAAGGATGCAACTATGTCAGTATTAAGTAATTTTTTTAAATGGACCTCAACAGAGGACTGTCATGAAAAATACTTAAGAATTTCTGCTTTTGGGCTGGAGAAATGGCTCAGTGGTTAAGAGCACTGACTGCTCTTCCAGAGGGCCCAGGTTTAGTTCCCAACACCTCTC